CATCCCCCAACGGGTCTCAAACTGACATGTGGGGCCCACCTTGGCGCCCGTTGACGGTGGGGACCGAATTGTCTGCGGAGTGCCGGGGTGGGCGTCACTGCGTCAGGCAGGCGGCATGTGCCATCGGGAATGTGTGGGGCTTGCTAGCTTTTCCCTCACGTGCTCGTAAAAGCACTGGCTCTGTGTGGACCCGGGTTGTCAGTGGAGCGAATGTGTAATTTTTGCCACTTGCCACAGACTGTTGTCGGGCCTGCCGACAAACGGAATAAACTTTATTTTTATATAGTATATTATACTCCTCCCTCCTAAAATAAGTGATGTTTTAGGTTTGTCCTAAGTCAAACTATTTTAAATTTAACCAAACTTATACAAAAAATAATAGCCTTTATGATACCAAATAAGTACTATTAGATTTATTATGGAATATATTTTCATATTTTACCTATTCAGTGTCATAAATATTAATGATCTTTTCAATAAATTTGATCAAACTTGAAATTGTTTGACTTAGGATAAATCTAAAACATTATTTATTTTGGGACGGAGGAAGTAACTTTATAAGGGAAACCCGTAGTAATCTTTAGGGAAAGCCTAAAAGATGCATATGCCTCTTATGACATTTACTTACCAAATTTCTCCTGTTTGGATCTATTAGCTACAGTTCAAATCTTGTTCCAAAATTAATGTAATTGTAGAGTTCAGGTCATCTTTCAGGTGGATCCCACCACAAAACAATGCATGTCTTTGGAAAACTAACTCACCCCATGTTGTACTTTCAAGGAGCGTTGTAGATTGCTTTTGAGTTCTAGCGTATGGGAGGACGGATATTGGAGGGGGCACGTGCACACATCCACTAATGATGTGTTTGGTTGGTTGATTTATATGGATGGGATGAGACCATCGATAGTGTTTGGTTTGCTGGATCACTGTGATGAGGAAATCCCTAGATAGGGAATATACTATGAGATGCTGGATTTCCTGGTTCGTAAAAATCTCGCGAATCAGCTTATCCATGTCTTCTAATTCCTGTTATTAGTAAATAAATTAAGAATTATTAACATGTTATATTATTACTTAGTAATTATGATGGTAGGATTAGTTTTAATAAGTGCTAATACGTTGATTAGTGCATGTTTCGTGTGCTAATTAGGATATTAGTGGTGCTAATTAACATATTTTATTCTAAATTAGTGATTATCATGACAAAATTAGTATTAGTGCATATTTATCAGTGTCTAATTAGTTGTTATTATTTTAAAATAATAGATATAATTAGTGAACTATTCTTATCCCATCTATTTTCATCCCTCCAATCAAACAGAAAAATGGCTCATCCCATCCATCCAACCAAACATACATCATGGATATCCTTATTCCAATATCTATGCATCACCATATCCCATCCAACTTCGTCCTCCAATCAAACGCACCCTAAATGTCTAAACTAGCCTTGAAAGTGAGATTTACATGCTTTTTGGGGACGGATGGAGTATATATCAAGAAGGAAAGCTATAGAACAACAAACAAAACTCAAGATGGTACTTTTAAGAGAAAAATCTGCAATAAGACATGTCTGAATTAAAAATTATAGTACAAAAGTTATATCTCAAGTGAAAAGATAAATCAATTAGAAATGACATTATTAATCACTATTCACTAATACTACTTGTTTTGAAGCAATACCTGCATTGAACAGATTTTTTTAATGTTATTTGGGCCAAGATGTTTTTGGTCCGTAACTGGTTTATGCATGTTTGTTTCCTTGGCTTGGGTTTGGCTTTATCTGAACTGGATCTGAGGTGAACCGAAGAATAGTGTAAAAACTTTTTTTTTTAAATGAACCAAGCAAGAGAGCTGCCGGTTATACTAAAAGGAAGATAAGCCTAAAGTGAAAAACCTTTCTTTTGTAGGACTAGTGGACATGCACGTGCACGCACGTGTCTACGGAAAAAATCACGTGCAGTGGAGGAATGACAAAGCTAGAGCTTGCAATAAACATGCAAACTAATAAATATTATCAAGACATAAGTGTTATCAAGACATAAATCTATTAGTGGTTTAAATTCAAAGATGCATTGCTCTCGATTGAAATCATGAACAAATTTAAGTTTACTTTATCCTAACAATGCGAACCATCCGAGACAAAAACATGTCTCTCCCCAACATAGCACGTAAACACAGTTTAAATTATCATTGTGGCGAACAAATAGGCGCCCATAGTATAAACTTGTCTCAAACCTGGAACTCTAGCATTCCCAAAGATAGAACATGTGTTCATCCAATATATATATTCATGTACATGAGGCCACATCAACCATATAGACTTAAGTTATCTTTGTGAAGTCTCCTATGTTTTTAGAACTACACTTCTGGATCATTCCTACTTCACTTTTCTGTCGCTGGTTTATTCATCCCTATGTCGAGGACCATTTTCCTCATCTCCAAAGTACATCATTTGGTAATAGACACGGCTATGCTTTGTAATTAACAATAATGTGCCTCATCGCAAGCCATGGTCTCTCGCTTGTTCCTAAAAATACCAAACGACACCAGACATTTACATCAAAAATTTAGATCAACAAATAATGATCACCTTCCAAGTTCATGAAACATAGGAAAAGAGCAAATATGCTTAATCCTACTTAGAATATTAACACTTTCAATTGCAATAAAGATAACTTTATGGTAATCTAAGATATATAGCTACATGGGATTAACAGAGTCGACTCTTTATTGGTTTGAAAAAACAACTTGGCATGCCTTCTGATGAAATGGTCACCCTCAAACTGAATTTAAAAAAAATGGACACAACAGTACAAACCAATTTAAATATAGTAAGGCATACCTAAATCCTCACGCTTCATCAGACCAAATTGGATTGATAAATTGATTTGCAAGAGCAAACCGTTGCATAGGACATATACAACAAATCAAATATTTGACATCTCACATAGACAGGACTCAAAGGATCTTGCACTTTGGCACCTTCCAGGGTCCCCTAAACAAAACATCTTCATTGTTTCTAAAAATGATTTGCGACATACCTTAAAAATTCTCAATACTTCTGAGAAAAAAAGATATAGATGTAATCTTATTTAAATAATAATTGATAACTGAATAGTCCCTGATAAACAAGAGAAAACTTACTTGATTGCTTTTAGCCCTTGCCTATCTAGCCAATGGTTTTTCATGCTTCCGTTTGGCTTTCCCTCCATCAGCTAGTGTTTGCAACATGCAGAAAAAAAAGTCAGGAACTTGAATCATTCATGACAGTAGAAATTACTCCTCTTGAAGCATATAAATATGCAAGCTTAGTTACTCACAATGGCATTTATCCATTGATGCATCTTAAAATCGAAGGAGACAATTGATGGCCATAAGAAATTAAACTATTACGAATCTATGATAGCTGATTTCCCATAAATTTTGGTGACTCCTCCGTGACCATGCAGACAAGAAAAGGACAAGTGCAAAGATGATCATCCAGGTAGACATCCGATCATGAAAAAAAAAGTCACTCGAGGGCTAGTACTGCCACCTCCATCCTTGCCGTCGTTGCCTCCGGAGTCGTTCCCGCGGTTTCCGGCACCCAATCCGTCTCCCGGCGTCGCGTCGTGTGCAATATGCAGATGCTTCACTCCCGGCACAAATATTGGCTGTAGCGTTGCGTCGAATGGCCGGAGTCGAGTCGAGTTGGGGGGGGAGATGATGGGTGGCCGTATGGGGGTGTCGTCGAATCTCGGCCGGAATGGGAAACGACGGCGGATGAAGGAGCCTCGAGCTCTCGCTGCCTCTTCTTGCTTGCCCGCCGAGGCGTGGTCGCCATCATAAGCCCCGCCAGCCACGCTGGTGAGGCTCCCCCACCCGGTGTCTTGGAACCCGGAAGGGTCAAGAATTGGACTATTGGAGTGGTGAGAAGGATGGGAATCGAAGGCGTAGTTGAGATGTTGAGGTGCCGCTGTGGGTACACTTGCAGGAGCGGGTAAGAAAAAATTTCGGTGAAAAAAATTCTTCGACGGACGGTACAGTAAGATTAATTTATACCGTTAGACTTAAAGACCCAACTCATCCGATGGTTCTCATGTGAGGTGGATAAGAAAATTTTGGGTGAAAAGTTATTATCAATTCCTTCGCTCTTTTATTTACAGAAATGCTATACAACACACATATGTTTTAGCAAAAAAAAACACATGAATTTTTTTATCTCGCTCCCTCTCTCTTTCTCACCGGTGACCACCGGCGCCCACGCCGGCCATGGCAGTGGCGGTGGCGGTGGTGGCGGCGGCGGATCTGTGATTTGTCCTTCCAAAGAAAAAAAATTGTGATATGTGATCTGTGATCTGTGATCTATAATGTGTGATCTGTGGAGGCTAGAGGCTAGAGGTAGAAGAAGGGTGGAGGCCGTTGGATCTTAATCCTATGCTGTAAAAAAATTCATGTGTTGAAACTGAATAAAACACATGTTTATGTTGGGAGAGAGAAAGAGAAAATAATTATTACTCATAGAAACCATGAGTTGGAAAGCAGTACTTTTTTGATGCGGTATCCTATGTTATAAAAACTACTATTTTCTTTCATTGGGACTGCCCTGAATCCCCTTCTTTCCCCTAGCCAGCCTACAGGCTTAAAGAACAGCCTGCCAGCTGAAACCAAACTCAATCGGCAACGGTACTAGAGACTTGGCCCAGCGTAAGGCACCGCCGCCGGCACAACGTGCAGGTCGACCTGGAGACCACGCCCGTATGTACTACGCTTGGTATAAAGGTGGCCCACACGGAAAATTTTTATGGTAATATAATCGCACGGACAATTGTACACTCGTATCAGAGCTGTGCAACCCAACTTGACGCTCAAGCAACCCGCGGCACATAAAAACGGCCACGTGACCCCCCGGTTTCGTATTTTTCATTTCACCTGATGACTTTCAATTTCAACTTTCAACTTTCAAGCGCACACCAATCAGCAGCCCCGCAGCAAGGCCACCACCTCGAGTCGTCCAGATGAGCCCACCTGTCGGAGCAGACCCAGACCCCGACACGTCCACACCACCCGATTCGCCGCCCGCCGCACCAGCCGTCACCGCGGCGACGCAACCGCCCAGCCCTACTAAAACCCCAGCCATCGCCACCTCGGCGTCCGAGCCCACCACCCCAGCCGAGCCTTCATCCTTCTCCTCCTCGCCGTCCCTGACTCGCGGCGCCACCACCGCCACCGCCTCCGCATCCGCTTACGGCCTACAGGCCCCGTCCGCGACCGCGACCGCCCCAGGTGAGCCTCGTCGTGGACCCCACCCGACCTCACCCTCCCGTTGGGACCTCGCCGCCGCTGTGAACCGCTGTGGGCGGCGTGTGATTCTGGTTCCTCGTTGTCGTTGCGGTACCTGGATGGGTTAATTTCGTTCGTTATTACGATTTGATTTTGGGAGGGTGTCATCGCCGCAGTGGTGGGAACTGTCGGAGGCGATGCGGTGTTTAGGATTGGTTGGGATGATGATGAATTGCCGATGGTTATATATGTTGTTGTTCCAGCTGCTGTTGTTAGTTTGGTCACTGTTGTGGCTGTAGAAGCAACTGATCACAAGTTCTATGTTCTTACTGACACATTGTAGCTCTGTCCCCGAATTGCCTCTTGTTTCTCTGTTGACAGGTAGAGCGATCTCTGTACTGACTTTTCATCTTTTTTTTATTTTCAGGGCCCAGTGTTACTCAAACAGAGTCAAAGATGTCGCGCCGAGGACTGATGGAGCAGGACCTGAGCAAGCTCGACGTCACGCAGCTGCACCCTCTGTCGCCAGAGGTGATTTCACGCCAGGCGACGATCAACATCGGTAATGCATTGCTTATGCTGTTGTTTTTGTAGCGTCTTTTTTATAAGACAGTTTTTGTAGCGTTGTATTGGCATTAGTGTTGCAGTACCAGTATGTGCCTATAAGGCGGGGCCCTGTTTGGATCTTCCTTGATTATAGTAATCTAGATTATGAATAGGATTATAATATTCTGGATTGTAGATTTATACCAATCTAGACTGCTTGGATCCCTGGATTGTTGTTGGTTAGAGTACACATGGCGAATAATGCCCTTGCGTGCCGTGAAGAGGATAAGATGGAGGAAATCCTAACCTTCTATACTGAAATTGGTTTGCCATGATTCTTGAAAGAAAAGGTGATTGAGTGATGTTTTTCTAATTACTGCTGTCGTACATAATAGGATGTTACATCTGCTCATTGGAATCTTACTTGGGCTGTGGAATCTGATTTTTTTACTCAACTTTTGGATAAAATATCTTGCTTGTCTATCTTCAGTCTTATTTTTCTTGCGTGAAGGAAAAAACTGCTGCTGTAATATCCTAGGTTTATGTGCATATTCTAAGTAAAATATCTCTTTGGAATGTGCAGGTACCATTGGACATGTGGCCCATGGGAAGTCTACAGTTGTCAAAGCAATCTCAGGTGTACAGGTAATAACTAATATTGATACCATTGAGTCATCACATGCATGTCTGTTTGTTCCTTTTACATGTACAGTAATAATTTACATTTGATTCTGTATCTGGAGAGTGGAGATATATTTGTTTCATATTATGTCTGAGTTGATCGTTTCCTTCGGATTTGCAGACTGTTCGTTTCAAGAATGAACTGGGCGCAATATCACTATAAAGCTTGGTTACGCTAATGCCAAAAATCTATAAATGTGAAGATAATAGGTGCCCACGACCAATGTTCTACAAGTAAGTCATAGAGATCTCTTTTATATTTATCACACTGTTTTTCCTTCATCTGTTGCAAATGATTTAGCTGCAGCTCGTAATTGTGGAATGTCTTCAAGTATAGCGTTTTCATATTGTGTTATTGTTGCATTTCTAGTGTGATTGTGTGAATGCAGAGTTAGTTTAGGTTTAAAGATATAAGTAGTCTTAAATGTTCATGTTCTTGACAAGGAAGCACAAAAAATTTCACTCTTTCTAGTTGGTTTCTAACAATAACTTGCTAGCGTCGTGATAGTACCGGTAGCTCTTTTCTGAACCTTGCCCAGAATCAATCATGAAAAACTGTTATTTTGTTAAACGAATGAGAAATCAGAAATAAATACTATCAATTTCCTTGAGTGAAAAGTTAAAATTGTTGGTACTTCCCTTTGATGGAAATCTAAGAACCTGAGGTGGCCTTGTGATCTTGTGCAGATTTCTATAATAATGTTGAATTGGCAGCTTTTCAGTACTATCTATGTATATCGCTTTGTGTACGTTGCTAAATGCATGTATTTGTCCTGAATTTCAAATGTCAAGATATGGTGATCTGCTAGAAATATTGCCCCTTCGTCAGATGCTTGCATGTGTTGTGAGCCTCATAACTTACCCCTTGGGGCTGCCACATTATATATAGTTACTGCATATGTTATCATGTTGATACTTTTCATCTAACCATTTTGTTTTTTTATATATACATGGCTTATGGCATTGGCAAAGAAGATAGCCCTCTCTGTGACGTGCCAGGTTTTGAAAACTGTAGGATGAAGCTCCTGAGACATGTTTCATTTGTCAATTGCCCGGTATGATGAAACCTTTCTCATATCAGTTCTGTTTCACATGTCTACTTAGGGTTCAGATTCACAGATTCAGATCAGTTGCTATGGTAGATGTCTGTATCTTTTGCACAAAATTTTGGATTCTGTTTGCCTCCATCGATGTTGTTAATTCCTTCATGCTGCAACAACATTAAGCGATGTAATATGCTAGATGAATCATTGTTCCCTCAAACTGACATGTTGATTATCAGTATACTTTTTTTTCTGTAAGAAGTAATAAAAAAGTTCATTCTCATTAAGCATTTGACTAGCAGTCTTACCAGCTTCATTATACATTGTTTCTTATTTACTTTGACATTTCCATAACAATATATTCATCTTGTAAACAGGGGCACGACATTCTCATGGCTACAATGCTTAATGGAGCGGCTATCATGGATGGAGCACTGCTTCTGATTGCAGCAAATGAGAGCTGCCCACAACCCCAGACATCTGAGCACCTTGCAGCTGTTGAGATTATGCGTCTTCAACATATTATCATTCTGCAGAACAAGATTGATCTTATCCAGGAAAGTGCAGCAATGAACCAGCATGAAGCAATCCAAAAATTTATACAGGTCAGAGCTGCTCCTTGTCTCTTAGATAACAGCAAGTATTTTACGAAATTCAGTTTGTCATGATTATATTCTTGTGCTCAGGGAACAATAGCTCAGGGTGCTCCTGTGGTGCCAATCTCAGCACAGCTGAAGTACAACATTGATGTTATCTGTGAGTACATTGTGAAAAAGATTCCTATACCAGAGAGGAATTTCACCTCTCCACCCAACATGATTGTTATTCGCTCGTTTGATGTGAACAAACCTGGTTCAGAGGTTAATGATATCAAGGGTGGAGTAGCAGGTGGCAGTATCCTCAAGGTATGTAATAATTCTTGATATCTGAACATACAGTAATCGATATTTGTGCATGCAGTATTTTCGTTCTGTGGAAGTACATGATGACTGAGTTCCTTTGTGAAGGGAGTCCTGAGGGTGAACCAGAAAATCGAAGTGCGCCCAGGCATTGTGATGAAGGAAGAAAGTGGCAGAATTAAGTGCACACCCATCTACACCAGGATCGTGTCCCTGTATGCTGAGCAGAATGAGCTCCAGTTTGCCATTCCTGGGGGCCTAATTGGAGTTGGAACTACCATGGACCCGACACTGACTCGTGCTGATAGGCTGGTCGGTCAGGTCCTTGGTGAAGTCGGATCGCTGCCTGTAGAGGCCAGTGATGTCATATCTTTGGGACCGCCCAGTGTAAACAGAATATACCATATCTGATACTTTTGTTTGCAGGTGAACTTCTTCCTCCTCCGGAGGCTACTGGGCGTGAGGCGGTGAGGACAAGTGGAACCGAAAGGGCAAGCAGGGTCTCAAAGCTCGCCAAGGGTGAGATCCTGATGCTTAACATTGGGTCGATGTCTACAGGAGCAAAAGTTGTCGCTGTCAAGAATGATCTTGCTAAGCCAGCGCTCACGGCTCCAGTATGCACCAACAAGCTCGAGAAGCTGGCCCTCAGCCGGCGCATTGAGAAGCATTGGCGTCTCATTGGCTGGGGCACGATCCAGGCTGGCATTACACTCGACGTCCCACCCTGCCCGCTCTAAATCTATACTAAATACACCACACGTTTGACGATTAATTGACGCAAAAATAGAGTTTGGAGATGTGGTAAGGTATAGAGTTGTTGGGAACGATTTTTGTGAGGTGGAGAAGAAAACCTGAAACCAAATAATAATAATTGTTTTTGTTTGCAAATCTGTTTCCCTGCTATCTTATTGATGAGCTGATGTGTTGAATAAGTTTTCACCCAGTTAGTTTAATGATAAGCTTGAATTTAAATCGTGTACTTTTCATGGTAAGTTGCTAATGCTGTGCAGGTTGACATGAATTATTAGTTCATCTGTACAGTGATAGTTTAGTTGCTGATGCTGTGCAGGTTTTTTTTAACAGATGTTGTGCAGGTTGGCATGAATTATTAGTTCATCTGTACAGTGATAGTTGATGCTTCTGCGTCATTTTCTCGTTTTACATAATTCAACTTATCCTTAGGCCTAATTTGGAAGCAAGGGGAGCCCATTTCAGGGAGGGAAAACCTCCCATAGATAACTAAATATCTTATTCAAATGACATCCCCATGGTTCTCACCCTGAAAAAAGTCGGGGTTTCTAAGAGGATTTGAGTTTTCAAATTAGGCATTAATGGCCATGAATACATACTCAATGTTGGCAAATATTACAGTGAACCTTTTAAAGTTCTGATTAACAGTATATTAAATATTTTAGTTTGGAAAAATGAGTACCATTTGTAGTTTTTTTCTTAAAAAAATACCTTAATAACACCATAAACTTATTGAATTATTATATACATATATTCAATGAAATAAGTACTCAGGGATACATAGGAAATCATATCATGTTCAAAATATAAATTTATTTTGACTGGAGCGAGTATTTTGCATCTCCCCTGCACTGGGAAGGAGAGGTGACCGGGTAACGAAGGTACACAAGGGTGCAGCAATATGGGGACAATATAGGACCTAATAAAAAAAACTTATATGACAAACACATACATCACATAAATGAATTACAGTGATGTGTTTATAAATGATATAATGCTACATCTGACAAATCTAAGCTGAGTAAAAAATTCTTATGAACAATTCCCCTATCCTGCACTAGAATTGTTTCCAGAAGACGATCTCAGCAACTGATGGTGGTTAGGAGCGATCGAATTGGGCATGCCAGAGTTGAACATGATTTTTGATGCCTGTGGTGATGGTTGAGTCTGGATGCCAGAGTTGAACTGATGGTGGTTAGGGCCGAACGAGAGCATCTGCGGTCGCTGGTGTAGGAACAGCATCTGAGGCATCTGAGGATGCCCATGCCCCTGCATGTTGTTGGCATATGTGGCTGGCATGCTGGTCTGTAGCATGGAGCCTGGCACACCGACTGGTCTGGGGCTCATGCCTGCTGGATTTGATGGCATGGTGCTACTGCCCCCTGGTAGACCGCTTCCGGTGGGACCTAATAGGGCTGACCTCATCCTGACTCGTTCAGCTGAAATCCTCTGTCTAACCCTTTCTACTTGCTCACATTCCTTCAAGAGCAAGGTCTCAACTTCCGCAAACTGCTTCAGCTTCAACTCCAATCTCTTTAACTGCAAATTGAGTGTTGCAATATCAATAAGCCATCCTCAGCAAACAACATACTAGAGTAAGTGTGAATAAGGGTCTATCAAAACAACTACCATGCTGGTACCAGAAATTTTAACCCTACTCTGACTTGTATCCAGCAAAAAGGCTCATTCATACTACATACTATCAAGCTAGGCTAGGAAACAAAACTTAGTTCCAGGAGTGCCAGACTGCTTTTCTAATTTAATTAAACAGGCAACTCAGATATCAAGGGACCCGAAAGTCTTAGCCGACTTCTAGAACCTAATACCAGTTTTCATCTAACGATAAGTCAGATGTGAAGGGACTCAAACAAGTCCAGCGCCAAGCATGCAACAAATGGTCCAGTTCAGTAGAAATCTACCACACCTAAATCAACGGCTTGACTCAGTCGCAACAAATGGAGACAGCTGTGCATGCAAATCAGATGGCGAAACACATACTAACCTGATGATTTATTACAGTAGCAGCTAGTCTTTGAACTTCACGTTCCTCTTGATCGGCAAAAAGCTTAGACTTCATTGCTGCTGCTGACAGACCAAACATGGCAGCATGTTTCACATTTTCTGGAGAAATGGATGGTGAAGCACCTGTTTGGAAAATTAATGATTCTTTTAACATTCATGTCTAGAGTGAACTAATCAGGATTTTGCTAGCAACATTGACTGTAGCAGGTATTAAATACAAAGCAGATACCATTGTGGTTCCGAAAATTTGGATTTGTACCATTGCCCATACCATCAGCATGCATGCCTTCTGAACTCACCCTTCAATGCGTAGCAAAGATAAGTCATACTTAGCTCTAACATGATAATGCAAAAAGGAACTAGAAACAAATGAAAGGTCTGGATAGTAGACTTGACGGGGGAATTTCTGCCTCACGAATGAGGAAATGTTGAATATTTGAACTTTGAAGTAATAAAGCATTTACTAATGTATCTGAACTAAAGCATTCAGTAATAATAAAGTAAAGAATAAAGATGGCTAACCTGGAATCATCATCTCTAGTCAAAAAAGATAATGCTGCATGTGCGCATGATGCTGCAACTCTTGGTCCAATTGAAGAGGCCAAAAATGCAACCTATAATATTTATAAAGCGTTAGACTGCATACATGCATACATACAGAACGAACAGAAGCCTGACTTTTCATTGTTATGTTATGAAGCAGTGAAGTGCATAGCGCATAGCCCTATGCCCCTACGTATGCAGTCTTACAATATGAAATCATTGCTATGTCATGAAGCAGTGAAGCAGTGAAGTGCATAGCATATAGCCTCTTTCAGGTTTAGCCTTAAGATGGTAAGGGAATTCCTGGGGAACTAGTTTAGGGAAAGGATGGTGGCAAGAATAATGATTTCATATTCAAACTCAACCTAGAGGACACAAGAACATAAAAAAAATCAAGACATGCTGACGTCTGGTCTTACAGGGAGCCAAAAATGTAACCTACACTACCGTTCTAAATTGAAAGAGCATCTACTCCAAGTAGCAATCTAGGCTTTTATTTCCAAAAATTTTCTGTTGATAAAACTTTAAACAAAAAAATGCTTAGTGAAACTTAAATATAAATGCAAATATAGATGTCATGTCAAAAGAGAATGTCAGGCAACCATTGGTGCTGCTGACTACCAGAATAGCAAATTATACTTCTATTACGTCACCTAAGCTTGAATGGCAAATCCACTTTTCTCAGTTCAATAAATGGTGCACTGGTTCTCCAAACAAGAAAAAAAAAGAAGGGCGGAGCTACTCACCAGTGACATGACCGGATTAGAAGAATTAATGAATGGAAGCTGATTTCCTTGTTGAATATTTTGAACTGGAGCTCCTAAGAACACACTCATCAATATTAAGCCATAACTTACAACAGGAGCAAATTACCAAAAGCTAAACAGTAAATGGACAAAAAATGAATTCAGCTGATAGGGAAACTTAGTGATGTAAAACACCTGAAGTGCTGCCATTGGAATCTGAATGTTGATAACCATTGCTTTGTGGTCGAAATGGAATGGGTGCATTAGGTATCTCAACATTCTCTAACAAACCATTTTCCACTGGCAACCGAATAAAATGGTAAATACATTGTGCCTTTGATTTTGTTCCAACATGACCTGCAATGTCATCCCAGTTGTCATTGTACTTCTCAATGCCTTCCAACAGCAACAATGTTTCTTCATCAGTCCATTTATCACTATCATTTTCTGATCCATCATTATCCCCATCGACTCTCTGGAAATCTAAGCTAGAATGCCCAATAATATATCTCGCATCATGGAAGCAAACAGAACATAGAAAAATATCTGCCTGCTCAACCAGTTAAAACACACTTGTTATTGCTAACGTTTGTCGCACAAAATAAAAACAGAGGAATCACAATAATACATTCAAATGGGTACAAACCCAATGGAGTTCAAAGAGTTACACTGCACAGCAAAAGCAGATAGTCCCGCATCAAAATTGGACAACAACAACAACAAAGCCTTTAAGTCCCAAACAAGTTGGGGTAGGCTAGAGTTGAAACCCAGCAGAAGCAATCAAGGTTCAGGCACGTGAATAGCTGTTTTCCAAGCACTCCTATCTAAGGCTAAGTCTTTGGGTATATTCCATCCTTTCAAGTCTCATTTTATTGCCTCTACCCAAGTCAACTTCGGTCTTCCTCTGCCTCTCTTCACGTTACTATCCTAGCTTAGGATTCCACTACGCACCGGTGCCTCTGGAGGTCTCCGTTGGACATGTCCAAACCATCTCAACCGGTGTTGGACAAGCTTTTCTTCAATTGGTGCTACCCCTAATCTATCATGTATATCATCGTTCCGAACTCGATCCCTTTTTGTATGACCGCAAATCCAACGCAACATACGCATTTCCGCAACACTTATCTGTTGAACATGTCGTCTTTTCATAGGCCAACATTCTGCACCATACAACATAGCAGGTCTAATCGCCGTCCTATAAAACTTGCCTTTTAGCTTCTGTGGTACCCTTTTGTCACATAGGACACCAGATCGCATCAAAATTGGACACTTAATAATATTTGTAACTAAGGGTCTGTTTGCTTTATAGGGCCCTGAAGCCATGCCATAATTTTTGGAGGCACCAACCAAACAGCCCCTAAATGTTCTTTTCCCAAGTACAGTAGTCAATAAACTAGTAGAAACATCAAATTGTTAATACACGTTTTCAGCATGTGCTGCGTATCCAAGGTTTGACAAAAAATGTGAGTAAAATAATAATAAGTAGGCAAAACCCCCAAACAAGAAATAATTAGGGTTTAATTTCAACAACAAATCTTAGTCTACCACAGTCAACCAAAACTTAAGCAATAACATGCTAAATTGTGAGGCAAGACTACCTCAGCAGCTTACTGTAATGTAGAATCAAAACCTTGGAGGAAGGTCCTATTTTTTAGCAGGAGTGAAATGAAAGTGCAACTTCCAAAATACAGATACAGATTCTCTACACAGAAGTGCAACTTCCAAAATACAGATACTGATTCTCTACACAAAACATTTAACATAAAACATGTAAAATGGATGTTACAAAGAAGCGCACCTCCTTTTGTGACCGGTAATGTAAACTTGGCAAAGGCTGTAAGCAATAACTGCAAGAGCTCTCAGACAAACGCTCCCTGATCTTTGCATCCAAGTCAGCAAATGCAGCATCAAAATCCACAGCCTCCGAGTTCGACGAAGACGGGGCCATCGAAGAAATGTCCTCCGCTGGGAGGCTACATTTTGGCCGGTCAAACAAAATTAGACCATCGATTGATTTCAACGGCGCTGTAAGCAGCTGCAGTTCCCCTGTAGGTTCCTCTCTTAGAAGCGAAGTTGCCATCCTCAGGCCACGGTGCACAGACCCAGCCGCAAGGTAATTGATGATGCCCCAAGTGTCCAAGAACCTAACAATCCTACTCAGATCATACAGTTCAGCTGTGCTCCCAACAAGCCCCTGGCACTCAGCAAAAGCAAGCCTCTTGCTTGGGTTCTCTAAGTATTTAGCAATGACTCTATTCCTTAACATGACATACTTCTCCGGAGTGTGCCCTGGAGACTTGCCTGTAAAGAAGTGTGGCACTACCTGCCTTTCCAGCCTATGAACTGTCCCCGGGGAGAACCAATCTACAAATTACAAACCAAAATACATAGGTTACTTAAATTAGCGCACTTTTCCAGCACAGCTCAGCGATCCGTGTTTACGCAGAGAGCAAACCTGAGTGCTTGGGCACGACATGGAGGCGACCCTGGAACTGCTTGGGCACTCCATGCCCCTCCATGAGGGGAGGCGGCGTGCACACATACAAGGACGGCTTGTCGGGGTCTGTCGCAAGGGATGGGTGGTCCGGAAGCACCCCGGACAGCACCTGCAGCTGCCCGTGCGAGATGTTCTCTAGCGCCGGCGGTGCCACGGCCAGGACATCGCCGGAACAAGCGGATCGCTCGGCCTCGAGCAGCGCGAGGACGGACGGATGCGGCCGGTTGACCACGCGGCGCTTGGCGGCGGGGAACGCAGAGATGGGCTCGGCCGAGGGCAGCACCTCCGCCTCGTGGAGGCCGAGCGCGGCGGGGTCCTCGGACGCCGCGGGGGGGCTCGTCGTCGTCGCCGGCTGCCCCGTCCCTGTCCCCCGCCGCGCCGTGGACGGCGGCGGCGTCCTCGTCGGCGGAGTCGGAGTCGGAGGAGTGGCCGGCGGCCGCCGCCGCGGCGGCCGAGGTGGAGGGCTTGGACGGGGACGCGTCGGGGTTGCGCTTCCGCTTGCGCCATTTGAGGCGCGAATCTGGGAGAGTTAGGGTTACCGAGGCGGAGGCGAGCGTTAGGTCCGGCGGTAGAGAGTTTAAAGGGTTTCGAGAGGGGGATGGACGCACGGACCTGAGGTCGACGAGGCCTTACGAGGCATCGGCGGCGGCGGCGACGACGGCGGCGGAGGTCGACGAGGCGAGCGGGAGTGACGGGGGAGTGAGACGAGACGAGACGCGGGCGTGGTCGGAACGAGTCGACGGGGAAGGAGGAGGGCAAGCACGTGCGAGGGAGGCTGCTCTGCTCCCAGCGACGGCTGGACATGGACCGGGCATCGCTGACTAAACACTCGTAAGTCGCTAGCTCGTTTGTCTGTAGCTCGGCTCAAGCTCGCCTCATTTAAATTTTTAATTAACGAGCCAGCTTGTGCTAGCTCGGTGAACTAACGAGTCAGCTCATGAATTATTTATGAGTTAAAACCAGCCAAGGTAATTTACAGGACAACAACCGTAATTGACACATATATCTCTCGGTCTAATCCAATACAACTTTAAACGGTCCATATATCCCTCTGCTTATAGCCCAACACGATTAAACACTAAACCCCTAAACCAATAGATCATATGGCCCCATCCAGTCACCCCACCGGCCTACTCCACGGCATTATGTTTACGTGAGACGAGTCCAAAATTTATATGCATTTTGTTTATTTCATTTTAAATATGCACGTGATGTGTTTGTGTACTATATTTTTGCTTTGGCTCGTCATAACCAGCCGAGCTGAATGTTCCACTTCGCGGCCCAGTGGGCTTGATTGGTTAGAAATGGCCCATGTTCGCACGTGGGAGAAAACTGAAGTTGGCCTAAGTCCGGTATCACAAACCTGTCCAAACTTCCCTTCAAAAAAAAAAAAAAAACTGTCCAAACAACCTTGCACGATCGTATGCTCCTGATGTGTATGTAGGCCTGCGACAACGACGAATGAGGAAGCAGTTGTATCCATCCAGGGCTAAATCGCAGACGTCGGTTCAGAAGTTTGAGAAGCCGCATGTCGACCGCCACTGATGATCCAATGAGTCTTCACATGTCATCACTATGATGTCCCATGAAGAACTACTAGGAAGTTAAACCACATGATGCATGTTATCAAATATACAATTAGAGCTTAAATTTTATTTTTTTTTGGAAATTTACTGTCCATGTCTCGATGGTTAAGCAAGAAATTGCTAGTGAGGGAACATTTTTTTTGCTGTTTGCACGGTGGGTTGCATGGTAGTAATCCATGTTGCACTATATATGGGTTTGTCTTAGTTTGCATCCTCCATTTTATATTTGGCCCAACTTCACATTTTATGAGACCACGTAAGATTCAGACAATTCTAAGTAAGGGAAAAAAAGTAGAGCGTAATTTTAGGGACAATACGAAACTCCTTTCATTTTTCTCTAAGTATTTTTAAATGTATTGAAAGGATCAAGATGCCTAAGAAGAGGTAAATTGGGCTAATTCTAAATTTTCTTGCAATAATTAAATCATATGGTTAGCCCAATTAACCTCTTGTGCCTAGAAAAATGTTTCTATTAATCTAACGCACAAAGGACTTGCAACCTATGTTCCAAACTTACTGTAGCATGGCAATTCTAATGAATGTAAAAACAAGTATTGAATTGCTCAAAATAAATGCTCAAAGTAAATAGAGAGAGGAACGCGGCGATGTTTTGCCGAGGTATCGGAGAGTCGCCACTCCCCACTAGTCCTCGTTGGAGCACCCGCGCAAGGGTGTAGCTCCCCCTTGATCCGCGCAAGGATCAAGTGCTCTTTACGGGTTGATTCTTCGACACTCCGTCACGGTGAATCACCCACAACCGCTTACAACTCGAGTTGGGTCACCCACAAGCTCTCCAGATGATCACCAAACTTCCAATCACCACCAAGCCGTCTAGGTGATGGCGATCACCAAGGGTAACAAGCACGAACTCTCACTTGACCATGCGAAGCCTAATGAGAAGGGTGGATGCACACTATGCTACTCTTGATTCACTAATGAGGCTACTCTCTTGGATTCTCAAATCTCGATCACCTCACTATGACCTTGCTCTTCTTTGCACTCACAAACGTGTTTCTTAGCTGTTCAAATGAGCAAAAGTACCCCCACACACGAGTGGAGGTGGTATTTATAACATGGGCTAAAAAACGAACAGTTATGTGCCTCTGCGGGGTGACTGGACGCTCCGGTCATGTTGACCGGACGCTCCGGTCAGTTCAACCCGCACACCAGTGTTTAAGTGTTGACCGGACGCTGGGCAGGGTCCGGTCACCACTGACTGGACGCGTCCGGTCGCATTTTTTCCTCACCGGAACCTTACTGTACTCGACTGGACGCTGAATCCCCAGGGTCCGGTCAGTACTGATCGGACGCGTTCGGTCGCAGATTCTCTTCTCTGGAACCTTACTGGAGTCGACCGGACGCTGGCCATCAGCGTCCGGTCACTTGACCTTCCAGCGTCCGGTCACACCAGACAATTTCTCCTTCGTCAAATGAACTGACCGGACCCTGCGGCCAGCGTCCGGTCGCACCGGAGCCAGCGTCCGATCCGTATTTGACCCTCCATTCACTTCCAACTCTCGATCATTTGTGAATGAAGTTTGCTCCATAGGATCTAAGGGCTGTTTTGGAGCTACCTAGTGCTAGACTTAGCAAGTGTGCACCACACCTAACTCACTAGACTCACCTAGGTCAAGCTACCCGTCCATACCCCCTTAATAGTACGGCCAAAGGAAAAAACAAAGTCCTAAACTACTCTAAGTGTCTCTCCAACTCCAATTGACACTTAGAACTAGTCATCCTTAACCTTGTCGTTCATCCTTTGAAAACCGAAATGATTTCCATCGTAGGGGCATGACATCCATGATTGCCCAATCGATCTCCATTACCATGACCTAACTTAATTGCCTCTGTAAAACACACGTTAGTCATAGTAATCTTGTATTGTCATTAATCACCGAAGCCCAACTAGGGGCCTAGATGCTTTCAATCTCCCCCTTTTTGGTGATTGATGACAATACCACCTCGAGTATGTGAAAGAGTGGGGTTTTTATATGCTTGGTTCATATAAGCTTTTGTCAATAAGAACAAAAGAGTTAGGCAAGCTTATATGACCCAAGCCAACACAATGTACTCAAAAGATATGAATTAAGCATGAGTACAAGTAACAAGGCTCATTTGCATCAGAGTATAAACGCGGAAGCAAAGGCAAATGAGCATAATACAAGTGATATGACATATAAAGAATTCAAAGTAGAGAGCCCATGTCACATATTTTTTTGTGTGCAGTAAACGAAAATAAAGTTTATTACTTTTTCTAAAAAATTTTATGCCTAGTATTGAATTTACTACGCAAATAATAAGACTTAAACATTTAAATACAAAATATATATAAAATAAACTGATCTGCTTAAAAGTTGGTGGAAAATGAAAATGTAGCCTACCTTTAGTCCCGGCTCCTACCACCAGCTGGGACTAAAGGTGGGCTGCATTTGGCGGCTCGCCAATAAATCCTTTAGTCCTGGCTCCTTCCAACAGCCGGGACTAAAGGTCCCCCCTTTAGTCCCGGCTGGTGGCTGGAGCCGGGACTAAAGGTGCTTTAGTCCCGGGCGGTGTATGGAGCCGGGACTAAAGGTCCCTCTCCTATATACCACCGCCTCCCTTCTCTCTTCCTCCTCATCGATCGTCTTCGTCTTCAGCGCGTCCCCAGAGCTCCGCCGCCACCGATTCGCCTCCCCAGCCACCCCCGACGCTGCCTGCTTCCTCACCGGAGGGCACCCCGAGGCTCGCCCACCTTGCCGGAGTAGCCCCGACGCCGCGCCCCTCACCGAGGAGCCCCCGGCCGCCCCGGCGCCACAAGGCCACGCCGCCATCGATTTTGCCTTCCCGGCACCCTCGACGCCGCCTTCCTCACAGGGAGGGCACCCTGACGCCCGCCCACCTCGCCGAGAGTAGCCCGATGCCGCGCCCTCAAGGAGGAGCCTGGCTGCCCCGACGCTTGCGCACATGCCGCCACGCCGCCGCCACGCCACCGCTGCTTCTTCCTCACCGGAGGGCATCCAGGACGCCACCCACACCTCACGGAGTAGCCCGACAACGCCGCGCCCGGCCAGGAGCCCCCGTGCCTCGATCCAGCGCCGCTGTCCACCACCGCCCGTCGCCAACACTCCATTAATTCTAAACCGCCGGTATATATATATTATATTTATGAATTATATTAACGAAATGTATATTAATGTATATATGTATGAAATGTGTGTATATATATATATATATCAATTAATGTATATATGTATGAAATTATGTATGTATGAAATGTGTATATATATATCAATTAATGTATATATGTATGAAATTAATGTGTGTATATATATATATCAATTAATGTATACATGTATAATTTTTCCTTAGGAAAAAAATCAATTGTGTTATATTCTGATACCATGTGGCCTATACCCTAAACCCTAAACCACCCTAAACACTAAACCCTAAACCACCCTAAACCACCCTAAATCCTCCCAGCCACCGACGCTGGCCGGCCGCCCCGCGCATGCACCACCGCCCCGAAATGTGTATGAAATGTCTATGAAACCCTAATTGCATAATTATTGTTTTATAATTGTTTAGGCTCTCTATGGCCGACACGAGAGACGATGACCTGGAGGCAGAAATGATGGATATTATCAACGCCGGCACTGAACATTGTGCCGATGTTGATAATGACCAGCAGGAAGACGACGGGAGTCAATACTTGAATCTCAATCATATTGTTGAGGAAGTTGTTCATGAAGATAATTCCGGCGAGGTATATATTTCTCAATATCTAGCTCTCATTTATTTATTATGCATACATGTAGCCCACTGGATTGACCTTCATTTTATAATACTTTTTGTGTTTCTATGCGTACATAGCCGTCTAGATCGATGACGACGACGGGGAACACAGAGAATGTTCGAGGGGCCAAAAAGCCGTTGGAAGGCCGCTACATCATCTCAGAATTCAACGTGGCTACAAGCGAACCACTAGGACAATATGCACAGAAATTTGTGTACCACTGTGGGTACCTTGTAAGGGACAAGCTCCCGATCAATGCCTGTGAATGAAAAAAATAACAATGCTCCTCATATTAGTTATGTCTCTGATAAGGACAAGGAGCTGATTTGGCAAGATGTTCTTGCACATTTCACGCTCCAAACAGATGATTATCATGAAGACATCACCCACGAAAGGTTGACGGAGCGAGTTAGGCACTGGACAATGAAGAAGATGGCCACCCAATT